TCAGTACCCTACAGCGCTCAAGACGGCCCCCCACAGAGTGAGCTGGGCTGGATCCCATGTGGGAGATGCGGGACCTGGTTGAGATTGAAGGGTGGGTGACTGGCATCACCGCTGTATCTCTGACAAGATCCAACAGATAATGGTGACAATCCAGGGACCATATGTGGATTTGAAATCCTGGGGTCACAAGGATCACACAGCCTGCAGGCAAATAGGGAGCCTGGGTCACCTTCCCTGCCTGCCCCCTGGTGGTCACATGTCCCCACAGACCCCACAGCTCCCTGGCTGCATCCTAACCTGCAACCAGGGCTGGGTCTGGGAGGGGTGGACCTTGTTTTGGGGGCTGCACTCTGTGGGGCCAGGAAGTCACCTCCCAGTGGGAGGAGATCCAGGGAGGGGATAGCAGGTCAGGCGAGGTCAGGAGGGCTGTTGACTTTCCCTGTCCTCAGCAGGGAAGGCTGAGGATGGTCTTGGCACTGGGGCTGGAGGAAGCAAAGGGTCAGCAAGGAAATGGGGTGTCTGGGGTTCAGCTGGACATGAGCATCTATGCATGGCCATTCCATTTATGTGCAGCAGCCACCTGTAATCCGGGGCCCCCACCTGTGACCCTGGAGCTTAACAAAACCTGCAGGTTGGTGAGGATGAGAGAAGGGAAGGACCTGCCCAGAGCTGTCATGAACGTCACTGCCACCTACCCCCCTACCCCTACGGTGAGTCCCCTTTGTCCTGAGTCGCCTTCCCAGAGGTCAGGCTGCCCAGCGTCATTGCCAGCTGCTAGTCTTTGATTCTCTGGCAGTTCATTTAGCAGTAGCACAGTCATTACCCGTGGCCTCACATGTGATGACATGCAGCACTGTTAATCCCCCCTTGCAGAGACGGCGAGACCAGGACCCCCTAACAGGATTTCGACTAGGAAGTTTGGGGCCAGTGAAGGGATCCCTAGAGAAACTCAGAGCAACCTCCATAGGGGTCTCAGGCCCTGTGATGCTGGGAAGGGCCCCCAAGATATTTGTGCTGGCCTGGCCTGCTTGCTATGAATGCTAGATAGGACAGGTGGGCACCCCCAGGCCCGCATCACCCTGAGCAGATGGTGCTGGAACCCTTACAGGACTCTGGGCTGGCACTCGGGCACGAGTTTCCCCGTCACCAGGGATGTGGGCAGGTAGCTTCCCCTCTGCCAGTCTCAGTCTGCTTGCCTGTGATGGCACAGGAGGGAAGACTTTGGAACAATCCACTACCCCGAAAAGCAGCCCTGTACGCATCAGCAGTCACCGCCCCCAACACCTCCCCAGCCCCTGACAGCCACAGACCCGCTTCCCATCTGCCGATTCGCCATGTAAAAGTAATCGCACACCGTGTGGGCTTCTGTGTCCAGCGTCTCTCACTGAGCATTGTGTATTCAAGGTCTGTCCCCTTAGTGAGTGTCAGCGCCTCCCCCCTTTTCATGGCCAAGTGTGGGTGGGCACGTTGTGTTCATCCATCACCTGCTAGCGGACATTCAGGTTCGTTCTTGGCTCGGCGAACCCTGCTGCTCTGAGAATCTGTGGACAAGTTTTTGTGTGTACGTGGAGTTGCTGGGCCACATGGGAACGCTGTGGCCATTTGACTTTTCCATCATAGCTGCATGTTTTCTATGCAGGTTTTTGTTTCTCCACATCTTCGTCAATACTTGTTATTGTCAGTTTTTTTATTAGAGACATCCTACTGGGTATGAAGTGGTTAATTTTTATTAACATACTTCTTTCAATCGAATATATTCAAAATCATGTCATTTTAACATGCGATCAGTGTAAGTTATTGTGTTTTCTCATTGTAGTTATTAATGACATGTTGGTATCTATTTTTTCATGATAAGCCTTTGAAACCCAGTGTATAGTTTACACTCACAGCATGTCCTAATCCAGGCAGCCACGTTGCAATAGTTGAGTAGACAGGTGGCAGTGGCCGCTATGCTGGGTGGCACAACTCTTATTGCTAAGGGAACAGCAGTGACCAAGACAAACCCAGCCCCAGTGAGCTCTCAGGCTAGTGCCAGGGACAGAATAAAAATGGGCAGAGAAATATATAAATGAGATGATTTCTAATGGTGTCAACAGTTAAAAAGAAAATCAAACTGGAAAGGGGTTAAGTTCCAGGGAATGACCAGGAGGGCTTCTTGGAGGAGGTGGTGGCATCTGGGCAGCTCTCGCCTTCAAGGACTTTCTGCAATGGCTACCTGACATTTCTCAAGTCCCTTCCTTCCGTATGTTCTGCATATCAGCAGAGGACTGCGGCACTTTGAAGGAAAGAGCAGGGTCCCCAGATGCCAAGAAGTTTGAGCATAAGCCAGCAATCGAAAAATTAGAAGCTACCAAAAGGAATTTGAGTTGAGTAGCATTCCCTCCTCTTCCGTTTTCTGGGAGAGATTGTTTAGAACTGGTGTTATTTCTTCCTGAAACATTTGGTGGAAATTCACTAGTGAAACCATCTGAGTCTTAATTGCATTGACCCGGGAAAGAATACCAGCCAAGAAAGACTCCTCGTGGTTAACTGGGCCCAAGTTCATAGAGCCAGCAGCCATTGTCTACGGGAGCCTCACCCAAGGTGCACACCAGGGAAAAGCTACAGACTGGGCTGCCAACCTCCGGAAGCCCCTTTTAAGTGAGCTCCTAGGACCAAAATTCAACCAATAGGAAGGAATCAGACTTTACGGGTCCAACCAGAGCTGCACAGTTATATCCTGGTGGTGCTATTTGGACCAATCAAACTGTGAGAATTTGGAGTTCTCACTTGCACAGAAATGGACCAATCAGGGACCAGGGGCGGGAACTTCTCTCCGTTTGTCAGCCTCTCCCGTTCTGGGGAGCGCGCTCTCAGTTTCCACTAAAGATAATCTCTCTTGTTGGCCGAAAAGCCTTTTGTGGAGGATTGTCTCTGTTGAAAGATTTTTCACTACAGATTTGATAGATGTAAGACTATGCAGACGATCTATTATTGAGTGAGCTTTCGTTTTAGTGTCTTTCAAGGTGTTGGTCCATTCCAAGTAGAATGTCAAATTTATGGACATACAGTTGTCCCTGGCATTTTAATCCTTTTGATATCTGTAGGGTCTGTGGTGACTAATATCCTTTCTTTCATTGCTGGTATCAGTGGTCTTTTTTTCTTGGCCAGTCTACCTACGGTTTTGTAGAAATTTTTGGATCTTCTCAAAGAACAATTTTTGGTTTTATTGACTTTTCTCTGTTTTTTACTTTACTTGTTTTCTGCTCTGATCTTTATGATTTACCTCTCTAAAGGAGTTTGGGGCCGATCCACGTGTTTTGGTTAGGGCTTGCTGGTATGCTGGTGCACCTTGTACCCCATACTCTTCCCAAACTCACACCAATCCTCTCATTCTTTTCTGAATCTGATGAAACTCAAGGGTTGTTTCCAACAGTATGCACATGGGTACACTCAATTTTGCACCGTTTTAGAGAGTTACAGGTCCTAGGCTCAGAATCCCCACCCTGGAACCCAAATCCGATTTGTCAGCTTCTAGTTTTCACTTTTTGGCTATTGCGACTCAAGAGCTTCACATAAGACAGTTTGTACTAGCAAAATACTCTAGTGATAAAAGGCAGAAAGGGCCTGTTAACAAAGGAGGTATTTTCAACTTCATCAAGCTGTAGTTTGTCAACTTTTTGTCTTTCAGCTAAAACACCTTGCCGGGACTGTCCCACCTCTGTTCTGTGTTTTCACCCCCGGTTCCTTAGGGACGAAACCGTCATGCGCACCTCTCCCGCTCCGGCCCGGGAGATGCTTAATGAGGCTTTTTGCAATGAATCGGCCACTCTGGGCTTACTTTTTGACCCTTGACCTCACCTCAAGGAGGGGTGCCAAGAGAGCGGGCCTGGCAGGCGCCTTGATGGGTCTCCGAGCCGTTGTCCTAGCCCACGAGGGCTGCACCCACACCAAAGACCGCACCTACCGCACGGCCCTTCGGAGAAAGCCGTCGATGTTCACGACCGCCGACCCCAGTCCCAAACCCCTCTGAGGTCAATGCCACAGCCTCACCTCTCAACGCCCGCTTGCAGCCCCTCCCTTTGATGGGCGTCTTCGCAGGCCAATGAGCAAAGCCGTATCGGCCCCCGGGGCGGGGCCGAGCGCAACCAATCTGCTCGGGTGCCCGCCGGGATGGGGGGTGGTTCCAAATGGACCAATCGACGGCGGCGGTGTGGGCGGGAGCGGGGGGGCCGGGCCTG